AACTGTGTATAAGCAGAAGCTGTCCATAATCCAAGTGCATGTTTAAAGACCACATGAGATAGTAAGCTTTGTGTAGTAAGGACTCTAAATGTAAATTAGAATCCTGCCTGTCATTTTATGAAGGAAAACTTCAGTACAAGCATCTTACTTGTGCAGACAATTGTTTTACTGGTTACTTTTTGTTTGAAGCCCACAAGCTGATGGTGGTGCTTTGAGAAGTACTTTCATTAATATTATTCTATGTTGTCGTAATGGACTTTTATTCATACCTGTGTAAAAACAACTATGCTATAGTTACTACTTATTAAAGTACACTTGATTGGGCTCCTACCTTTTATGTCTGTGAAGTGTGAAATTTTCAGTTGTTTTGTTAAAAAAGTCTTTTTGTGTACAGTGATTTTTTTGATGGCCTATAGTGTGACATGGTTTTTTGTTGTTTATTCATTTTTGCACTTGGTGGTTTAAGACCCAGAATATGGATTCATTATCTCAGATTTCTGTTTTTTGATTGTCATACTTACAGAATATATGTGTGAGGAGATTGTTTATTTGGTATGTGAGCACAGTATTTTAAGAGAATGAAACTGAGAAGTATCAAGTATAGTGGATGAAGTTAGTTGCCTTTTGAAATAAACTGAGATTGTTTGCTCTAAGTGTATGGGAATTTGGAAAGACCCCAAATGTAGCACAATGACTTGTCACTTTGTTGTAAATCAGAGAGCCAAAACACAATACAGTTCTTGTAGAGAAAGACTGTTGTCAGAGGAAGGTTACAAGTTATTGAACCTAGGCCTAAAGGGAAATCTGAGAGTACAAATTTATCGATATTTACCAGTGCTAATCCAAAAAGAAAGAGTGACTGAACCTGATAGTGATAAGTAACAGTGATTAGAGAAATGTTTGCTGTGGTTCATTTCTTTTCTTGATCACTAGCTTTCTTTTCCTGCTATGCCATCAAAACATCTTTCCCCATGGTCATTAATGACCTTGTCTCCAAATTGGTACTTTTGTCCCTCATTTATGTGCCCTTCATGCAGCATCTGAGTTGACAGCTTCCTCCTCCCTCTTTCTTCCACTCTGTTTCCTTCCAGATCTTTCTCTATACATTCAGAGCAATTTTAAAAGATGGTATTGTACCATGTTCGCCATTTTATATCTAGTTGAACACATTGCATTTTCATGGCTCACTTTAACGGCCATTACATGGACATACCATAATCTTAAAAACTATGAAGTCTTATAAAAGAAATGCTCATTTTAGGACACTTTTCTGGGGGGCTCCCGGGTGGCCCAGTCAGTTGGGTGTCCAGCTTCGGCTCAGGTCATGATCTCACAGTTCGTGGGTT